CCTTTTGTGCTTCTATGCAGATGGTGAGAATGTTTAGAAAAACATAAATTAGATATTCCTGATGGGTCTTGAGATGCTGTTCCAAAAAGCATTGACTCGGGGAGGTTGAACACAAATCCATGCTAGGCTTTGCAAAACAGTTCAAGAGCACATTTTTTCCTGGCTAAGATTTCCAAGTCCAGCGCCAGAAACAATCTACTCAACTTCCAATGCAACATCACAATGCAACATGACTGCCTTGTTTTGTCGTATTGGAATTTGATGCTGGAGCAAGACAACTTTCCTAGTGTCGGGACAGAGGGTATTCCAGCTACATTTTCTAACGTGGAACTTGGAAACTCCAACTTTTGAGCTCTAATATAATGCACCATTATCCCATCAGTGATATGACACAAAACTGGATCAGCTCGGCATGACATCATTCCCGGATCATAAGTCCTGGTTCTGAGGTTGATACACAGCACGAACACTGCTGGTGTGTGTAGATTCGATATTACACTGATTTGTAGTTCTGATTTGACTTTCATACTCCAGCTGACTTCACTGAACGAGCTCGCTTGATGCTTTTGATCCGAACGCTTGGAACGCCACGCCTCCTTCTGCACTGATTTAATGGGCCACAAGTATGTTGGGTAAACAGTCACAGTACTTTCAACGCCGCATATTATTAGTGGAGACGAATTGAGAAAAAAAAACAACACGAAGAAATGGAAAGAGAAATACCATTAGACTTGATTGATAAATCAATATACATGCAAAGTATGTATATTGTATGTATATCTGTCTCTTTCAAAACCATTTGTAGCTAAGAAAAAGGTGGACCAACAATGTAATGTTTTGAAATAGCAGTAGTGATTCTCATAGAAATAGCACCGTTAGTAAGCCTCGCTTCACCAAATACAATAAAAGTGTCATAAATCTCCAAGTATTTTGAACAGTTATGCATTTTAGATGTTGAGGTGAAGTTAATTAGCTCTATTGAGTTCTAGAGGGTTCTTCCAAACTGTTGCAATACTGACTGCTACAGGACATCCTCTCTGCCTATGCTCATCATCTACAGCAGGGGTGGGCACTCCTGGTCCTCGAGGTTGTCTCCCTGATCCAACACACCTGAATCCAATAGCTGAATCACCTCCTAAATGCAATCAAGTTCTCCAGAGTCCTGCTAATGACCTCATTATTTGACTCAGGTGTGTTGAAGTAGAGATACATCTAAAAGTTGCAGGAGACCGGCCCTCGAGGACCTGGAGTGCCCACCCCTGATCTACAGCGACTTTTTGAGGTAAACTTGCATGATGTTATGTAATCCCTTTAGAATTAAAGTTTTTTTTTTTTTTATGGAAATGAATCAATTGTATTGTATGCTTGTGGCATCCCCATGGCAGAATAGCACCCTGGGCATTGAGCCATATCTGATGCAATGCTGAGAAGGCCGAGACTTTTCACTGAAAGCAGATACTTATCACTATAATGTTGGCCTTTTTCACATAGCTAATGATCTCACAGCACCATCAGAAACATGAGCAGCCTCCACCCTCAAGCTGCTGCAAATATTCACTGAGTAAAAATTATTTACATCTCATGAGTTTCTGTCCTTCAAATGACTTGCCAATATATATCAAAATCAAAATATGTTGTATACCATTTGATCTTTGGATAGTTATTACTGCTATCTTATTCCAAAAACAATGTGAAAGGACTGATGTCGATAAGCAGCAAGCAGATCTGGATTAGGTTTTTATTGAACAATTGAATTTATACTGCAATAATGGACTCTATTTATTAGTCAGGTGACTTCTGAAGGGAGTTGGCTGGATTTTATTTTGAGGGAAAGCAGAGTAAAAGGGGAAGAAACTTTCCAGATTTTTATTTCTGAAATTCTTAATTCATCTTCCACTTTAGCTAAATAAATAATTGTTAAGTTTTGAGGTTTAATACAAACTCCCAAGTGAAATACATTAAGTTTTGTCTTTGTCACATGAAAATACAAAGTTATGTGGCTACAAATTTGCTTGCAGTGCACATCTATACAGGATGTTTTGTAAACATATTTGCACATTTATACCCCATTTTGAACATCGCAATTTATACCATACCATTGATGCAGCATGTATGACACTTTAAACGGCATCAACAAGAAGTTCATTAAATGAATAACTTTTACAAGATTCTGTGGAAACCTCCATAACTGTCTGTAAAAACCTGTCTAATAGTTTATAAAAATTACAATATTCAGGAACAGACGCAGAAAATAGAGAACTGTGAATTTTGTTGTTGGCTAGATAACTAAAGCTGTAATTTGTTTCATAATTCAACAAAAAACCACTTTGTGTTCCCCCTGCAGTGTTGCATCGCTGCAGGTAGAGGGCTCCACTTTCAGTGTTTGTGCACATGCAGAAAGTTGTTTCTTCACAGGAGGAGCAGGACTTTTTTTTTTTTCCTTTTTTGCCTGCCTCCATATTAGCTCTTTCTCGTTGTTGATTACATTTTAATGAATTAAAACTGAATCCGGTTACTATCCTCACCAGCAAAGAGCTCCAGTAACTGACTTGGGATTACAGTACTGGCAGTTTTCTTAGTGCAGTTGCTGGAATGTGTGAGTGTTTTTGTGCGTCTGCCAGCACAGAGAAATCTAGAACTCCAGGGCAATGAGTGTATTTGGCTGAGTCTGCTTGCTTAAAAATACAGCAAGGATTACCGCAGGAGACAGCTATGTATGAACTGGCAAAATTATTTGAATGTTTTTGCACTTGTTCTTGAGAGTGCTTGTGGCTCTGTCAACGTAAAATCTATTCAATCTACTTGTGAAAAACGGCGTTCTGTAAGAAAAGCTAAATAGAAGTTTTTGACTAATTTACCCAGGAATTGTTAACATTCATTTGAGTTTGATTTAAGAGCTTTGCACTGAATATTATCAGACTTGCTTCTTTTGTGGCCCAATAAGTAGAAAATAAAATGATTAATGGGCAGATAAATGGACTGACTGGTGGATGGATGAACTCTCACTGGCCCTTATTTCCAGATGAGGAAAACTACAATAACCATAATCAACATTGTTGTTGCATTTTTTAAAAATAAAATCCTGTTTTATTTTAACTTTGTTATTAAAATACTATAGTCTTCACGCAGAATAGATCTCTGTGACCTACATACAACCACTGTAACGTTTTGAAAAGCGATTAACTGGCCTGCTGCTCACATCACTAGGACATTATTTATATAGACGAGTGGATTGCATTATTTCATTTTCTTTTATCGCCTTTTCAAACAGATTTTTTTTAAAAAGAAGTTTTCATTCAATTATTAAAAAAAAATATGAGAAAAATAAAAAAAAAATTCTGTAATTTAGCATAAATTGAAAAAGTAGTTGATCTTAATCTACTTGTCTATATTACGCAAGATTTGTCCTTAATAATGAAATGTGCAACAATTAATTCAGGAATTGAAATATCCAGATAATCGCTTCCACATACAAGAAAAAATTCACTTAGCTTGTCAGAATTGCTCTCCTGTAAACAATTGTACATGGTAGGCCATTTTTCCAGGATACGCTAATTGAAATTATGTTTACGCTTATTTTGCAGGCAAGAAATGAGAAGTGCTTTTGCTACGTTTAAAAGAAGAACTGTTTCTTGAGTTTTAGAGGCGTAATCTCAGAGCTTTGAGTGATTTCACACAGTGCCATGACATGTAAATAATGTTTTGCCATAATATGTAAAAAGAAAACAACTTGCATCTCCTTTAACTTATTTTACATATTGTAGATGTACTATGTAATGGAAAATGTCCTCATGCTGCCACAGGTGAGCATGTTAAGAGAAGTTTGACACACACCATTCAGGGCTGCTAGATGCGGCATAAAGACAGCGGGCATGTTGACATGGGAGGTAAACTGGAGTGATGGGATGTTGGCCTTGGTCTTGTTTGCAGAAGAGTTCACTCACCTGTTCACGTGACTGTTTAGCACCGATTTCTTAACGTGCAGCTTGAGCTAAGGGTAAGGAACAAGAATGTGGTCATATGTGGTCCAGAAATGGTCAACGGAAGTCCAACCTCCATCTATTTTAGTAAAATTGTTTCCTATCCAGTTTTATTCCTGTATAGGAAAAAAAAAACCCAAAAAACCTTTGGAAGGAACAAATTGTCCTGATGTATATAAAAAAAAAACAAAATGAACTTAAACATTTTGTTCAATAAATTCTTCTTTTTTATTGTTCTGATGTAATATTCTAATCTTAAACGTAATGTTCTCATTAGATATAAGTGGGAAAACCTCCATAATTATCAGTAGAAAAGGCTTAAACACATCAGCCTTTGTGTAATAAATATGCACCGAATGTCACCAAGTGAATTGAGTTACTGAAGTTTTCAATTTTATTAATTGAAAATGACTGTCTGTGTTCAGAAGCGGTCTGTTGCTAATCTTTCCTCCAATGTCTTTTTTGCTTTGTTTTTTTTTTGTCGTGAAACTTTTTGGGCTTTAATAAATCTGCAAAACACATGAACAAATTAAAGTACATCAGTTTCATATGGAAGCCATTTCTGCGACTCTGATGAAAAAAACAAACAAACTTGTATCTATGAAATACTACCTCGTCTTCTAAATCTGACTTGGCTATTATACTGACTTAGCTGTCACATACAAATGACACGAATATCATCAGTACAAAATAGATGAATAAGCTCTTCCAACAACTTTAATCTGGGGTGTGAACTTTCAAATAAGTTTTTTTTTATAGTTAACTAACTTATTTAGTTTTCTAAATGCTGTAATGATGAAATAATGTAATTTCCCTTATGGTCATTCTCATTAAATTAATTTATTTTAATGTCAAAGAAGGACTTTTTTCATTTGGTCCAGTTTATCTTTCTGAATGCGCAGAATGTGTTACGGTAAAAAAAAAAAAACAGAGAGAAAGAGAGAGAGAGAGACAGAAAGGGAGAGAGGAAAAAAAAGTAGGCGGGCTTTAAAAAAAAAAAAAAAAAAAACCATGTGCGTCGCTTTTGATTGACATGGCGCAGTCTCCCAGTACGACTTGCGCCGAGCCAGCAGACAGGCAGGACCCGACCCTGGGAATAAAAAAAAGGAAAAAAAAAGAAAACGCGCAGCCCCGTCTGTTTGAAAGATTCTTTTATTACCGCGAGGTGAGTCTTTTTACACTTCTTTTACGAACTCCGATCGCTTACAGTCACGAAAGGGAAAGACCTCGACGCAAATTGGAGTCGGCGATTGCAACGACAATAATGACGGGAATGGGGGGGCAAAAAAAAAAAAAAGTTTTCGAAGTGCGCATCTGGGTGCGTGTGTGTGTGTGTGTGTGAGCTCGGGGAGCCGAGCGCTGACGCCGGCAGTCTGGGCCACTCGGATGAAGAAGGGAAAAACTGTTCCTCTTAACTGTGTTGAAAGGCGGAGCGGGAGAGCAGAGGGTGCGAATCGAAACTTTCTGGGCCAGATTTAGGCTCCCGGTCGCTTTGAAATAAAGAGGAAGAAGCTGAGATTACGCGAGTGAACGTGTGGGACTGAGAGTCCGCTCGCTCTCCGCGCTCCCGATTTTCTCAGCTTTCGCAAAAAGAATGCGTGTTTTGTTTTTTGTTTTGTTTTGTTTGTCTCCGAGGGCTTCGGATGGAGAGTGCGCAACAGGAGAAAACGCTCGTCTTCTTCTGACGCGCATTTCCAAACAGGATCGCCGCTGTTGCGTTGCGTTTCTTTTTTCTGTCCCCTCCTCTCTCTCTCTCCGCATTGTGGAAAAAAAAAAAAAACCCAAAAAACAACAGCAACATTTTAACCTGCCTCAACACATTGTTGTTGTTGTTAGAAAAAAATATTTTGGAACAGAAGATGCTGAGGCAGTGAGATTTGAAAGGGAAGGTTTGGTTGTTGCGAAATCGCAGGACTGACGCGTTATGGGGGCATATTGGTGCGTTGGATAACTGGTGAGAACTGTGAAGGGGATTCGGGGGGGGGGGGGGGAAGCGACTTTCCGTAGAGTTTCTGTGCGGTTGCAGAATGCAGTAAAAAAAAAAAGGCTTTGGGGAGGAAAAAAAAAGTCCCAACTCCAGCATATCCTAGCATTCCTTCCAGCCAGTCTGTCTGCCTCCCTCTCTCTGTCTCCCCCTCTCCCAGAAACGACTACGTGTCTGTTTGTGCAGGGAAGACAAATCCTCCTCTCAGCCTCTCTGATGCAGACGTGGAAATCAAACATTGGCCTCCTGCTCAGAACGATCGATTATCTTGGCTTCCACGTGTCCCATGAGAGGACAGCTCACAAGCCCCAAAAGTTACCTCATTCCCTCTGTAGGTGCTCCATGCTGCCGGAGGTTCTGACTGAGAAGTCAAGGTGCAGATGTCTTGACTTCTTGTCGGCTGGGCTATTTGCTGTGCAGTGACGGGGCTGAGGGCTTCCATTGTCGGGCTGTCATCATTATCCTTGGAGAGAGACAGAGGAGGGGGAGGCCGGGGGGTGAAAACGGGGTGAATATGGAGCGGCGCATCCCCTGGACCCTGGATCCAGTGGGCATGTTGGAGAGCATAAGTTCTGAAAAGCTGGGGCAAGAGTCAAAGCCACTATCCAGGTTTTTCATCAAGATCCACAAAACCAACTTGTCATATGCATTGTCACATTTGGAACAGCAAAACTTTGTTGGTTTTTCAGCTGGTTATGCATTTTTGCAGCTTATAATGTTCAATTTTCCCAAACCCTCCAATTAGCAAAAGGGTTTCGCGCACACTGGTATCTGGTGACATCACATAAAGCATTAGGGAAGTGCTAACCTGTGCTTCCATCTTTGTGTTTGCATGCTTTCAGACATCCTTCAAAGAGGATTTGTGTAATATAAATTTGGTTTGTGTAATATAGATTTGTCTTTTATTGGGGGGATGCTACTTTGATGCAACTTTTCAAAGTGCTTGTGTCCGTGTACGTCATGTTACTAGAGTATTCCTGAGAGGCTTTGAATCCCTTCTGGTTTCAAAATGTCCTGGCATCCCCTAAAAAAATGCTGGAGAATGTGACTGGAAGGAGGGATGTTTGGGATAGTTTGTTCCGTGACCCAGTCTCTGATACATGTAAGACAACGAATAGTTGGATGGTTGTTCAGCAGTTCTCACTTTTATTGATTTGTTGTTGTTTTGCGACCAACTTTTTTGTGGAAGAAATTGCGTCATCTACCTTAGGACATTTCTCATAAATAATAAACCACTTCATCCTGTTGGATGTTTCATCCCAGATTTGACAACCAATGACGGAAACTAGTTGTCATTCCCCGCTCTGTACCTTTGGAACTTTGGTGCATTTGAACCAAACTTTTTGTGCCCTTTACGGTGGGACTTTTTGTACCTAGCCTGCACAAAATCATCATTGTAAAAGTGTTTGCTAACCACTTTGACCACCAATGGTTTACAGTGATTTTAAAATGGTTATGTTACCCAGTTCACCAATTAGCATTTGTTTTGTTTCGGTCGTTTTGTACGATATGGTTCTTCCTGCCGCATGGCCTTTTGCACCCACCAGGAGGTTTTGTAACCATTTTGATAACTGAAATTGTATTTTTAAGAATATTCTCACAAGTTAAGGTGAGTGAATGTGACACCTCTGTGGATTTCCTGTTCTTTCTGTGATGTCATCCACTCCAATTTGCATAAAGCTGAAATTGCATTGCCTTCCTTTCAATGTTCTTTTTCTGTATGTTGTTTCATCCTCCTGTAAAAATCTACATTTCATTGCCAAGCTGTGTTTTTGATGTCTCACTGAATGTGTTGGTGTCTTTAAAATCACATTTCACACATTTATCCTGGTATTTTCTTTTCATGAGGGGAGACCAGGATGAAGGAGACTCGGAGTAATCCGATCCCAAATATGTGACGTCAGATGACATTCCTTTGGTGAAAAGCTGATGTGGCCATTATTTTTTTATACTCTCCCTCCCCCCAACACACACTTTTTCTTTTCTTTTTTCTTTAAACAATCTGATAAATGACTTTCTAGGGGGATTGTTGGGGTTGGAAGTTTAGGGAATGAATGAGGTCTGCCTCCAGCTGAAAAGGTGCGTTTAGGTTTAGAGTGCGGAGGAATTCTCTCCTTGTAAAGCATGAATGAGCAATTTATCTGGCTCCCAGAAGTCAGGAGCCTCAACAAGGTTCAGAGGAGTTCAGAGGAAAGCTTTATTTCGGGTTTACTGAAGAGATAATACAGCCATTCATTTTCGTCACTTGTTCTAAAAGGCTGTCTTTTTATTTAACTCCGAGTCTCACTCGGGTTTCAACAGGTAAGAAAGGATTACGCCAGGGATTGGGGAGGCCTCCCCTGGTCCTCAGCCCTCAATTCAGCCATTCTTTGTTTTGAGATTCCTCATTAAAGTCAGCAGCTTGCGCATAAAAAAATAAAGAATCAGAGTCACTGAGCTTTTGTTTTTCTTTTGCTTAACACATGTTTAGTAAGGATTGAACTCCTATTTCCTCAGACGGCTGATGCTGTTGGATTTCAGCATTTATACACGGTACAAGCATTTAAACAAGCTGTGGACGCCTGGTTGTGTTGTTCTGGCATTATTATTATTGCTTGTGTGCATCCTCAAAGAGTACTATTTCTTTGAATGCTTTCATTTCCAATGCATCAGTTTATGGGTTGATGACCAGAATCCATTTTTTGTATGAGCAGAAGTAGGCCTGGACCAGTCCAAAATTCCCACATGATAATCATGAGCAAAAACTCCCAATATGTCATTGTATTTACACATAAGTTCAAAATAGAAACTGTAATATGTTGAATTTATTAAAATACACAATAAGGTGGCACGTTGGATTCAAAACAGCCTGTGCAGTTGTGATTGGTGTTTCTCTGAAGAGGTACAGGAACATGACCCAAGCAGATTTGAATGCTTTTGTAAGGACATGAGTTTTTGTGATCATGACATTTCTTTTTGTAACTTTTTTCCCCCCTCGTGTGGGCTTTCGATCCAGCATGGCTGAAATTATGCAGGAAGTCAAAAAGAACTGTGTTCTGGCTGGAATCAAACCTGGCAGGATTTGTGGCTTTCGTGTGAATTGACGGGAAGGTTGAGTAAATCCTTACATAAGTTAAAGAGATCTGTAACTGTTTGAGCTGTTCGTGCAGGTGTGACTCACACTCTGTGTGTTGATGTATTATTAATGTGCCTGTAGGGCATTTTTACTGCTAAAACATTTAGCCCAGTTTAAATCGTTCCTCCCTCCTTTCAGTTAAGTGTTTGACTTCGAAGATATTTCATGATTATTTTCAAATTATTTTTAAGTTGACAGAAAGTTGCAATGTTTTCCTATTTATTGGGAAGAAAATTGCTCTGAACTTTTCTCCTCCCTGTTTTATGAAAACTTTTATCTAACCTCAGAGACAGTCTGTGTCTCTCTACCTGCACCAGCTTGTGGTTTCCTCCTGGCCCAATAAAATCTCTGGTACGCCTGGACAAAATGAGGTCAGGGAAGGGGCAGGATGATACTTGTCATTGTATGCACACGCTTGTGTCTCTGAGTGGTAACCTAGAACATGTTATCCACTGGGTAATGTTACGGAGCAGTGCTTGTGTATCGGGGACAGAGGCTGGAGGTGCGATAGGATTACCCAGTGGATACAACGCTGCCCTGGAAAGTATGTGAGGCTACGTTGAAGAGGCGAGCGATTGCAGGAAAAAAATGGGGTGGGGGGAATCAAGATCATGATAAAAAAAAAATATTGGTATTTGCATCCTGTTGCACTGGTTTTCCAAGATTAATGATGTGGTGCTGTTCTTACCATACTGAACCCCCGGCATAGCCTTCCTGTTACCTGCTGAAAGTCTGTTTTTTTTTTAGTTTTTTTTTTATGGAGTCCTTAATGCACGGCATGTGTGGTTTCTTTTAAAAATGCTGCTTGCACTTTTTGTGTTTCTGCTTCTGTGAAAATTGCTAGCTTTGACTCCTCTTCCCTCTGTAGACTCCCCCGCATGGAAGGATCATTGTGGTTACCAGAATATGTTAGGACTTAGTTAAGGAGACTCCAACTAGTCTGTCTTCAACCAATTTTTGGTCTAAATCTAAAAGCATTATCTGTGGACAAGTAATTAATTTACTGTTGGAGATGTGGTGAAGCTCACCGGTTTGTATAGAAAAAAAGAATTGCAAGGCTACATTT